TATTAAACAATATAAGAGTAGGGTGCATATACTGGTATACCAATAATATACTAATGAACAAATATACGAATATTATAATATGAAAATATACTAATACACCAATATACTACTGTGCTCATGCACCAATGTAGCAATATAGAAAGAACAATTATATCGACGTATACAAATATACGATTGTTCGAATCCATTAAATATATTGATATATCATTTTGTTAACATATGAATCATATGAATTTTGATTTTCGTGGTATTGGTTTTCTTGTTTTTTTTGATATTGTTTTTGTTTGGTTGATTTTGGTATTATTTCTTGTGGCTTTTGTTCTTATTTAGGAGCACCCCTGGAAGGCATAATGCACGCAGTGCTTCATGAGGACCGTATCTGCAAGTCATTAAAGGGCCCAAAATACTGGGCACGCGGCTCGACTCGAACAAGGCAGCTTGAGCGGAAACATGAGACAATACGAATAAGAGCCGAAAGAAAACCAATACCACGAAAACCAAAAAACCAAAAGCACCAAAAAAAACAATATTCCAGAACTCTTTCATACATATGCATAATTTCAAAGAGTTCTGGAATAATGGTTGTTCTGGTCTTTTTGTTTTTTTTGGTATTGTTTTTTTTGTTTTTTTTGATATTGGTTTTGTTTGGTTGATTTTGGTATTATTTCTTGTGGCTTTTGTTCTTATTTAGGAACACCCCTAGAAGGCATAATGCTTCATGAGGACCGTATCTGCAGGTCATTAAAGGGCCCAAAACACTGGGCACGCGAACCGGCCTAAAGCCGGTTATTGTTATTATTGTTGTGATAATAATTCAGCTTTCACTACAAATTTACTGACCTGGTTATTGTTGAAGATGGTAGGAGTCCTGTGTCTGATGCAGAGACACGTCTACCTACCTGTCCTTCAGGCGGCTCTTCGTGAAGTCCAAGGACCGTGGATCCGCATCAGAAGGTCATAGCGATTTCCGGTTTGCTGTTCCGCCGAAGGACTAGTGACATGCGTGAAGGGCAAAATGCGATATACTAGCCAATGTGTAAAGGTGGAGCCCGCCATAATGTACAACATGTAACGTGTCGATGTGTCGTGTGCGGCCTGTGAGAACAAGTTGTGCCAGCTCAGACCCCCAATCAGTGAGAGAACACCGCGACGACAACTGCAAGAAGGACGACCACGACCACCATGAGCCCCAAGAAATCCACCCGAGACGAAGACCACTGGAGACCCCAGGGACGGCGCTGGCCTGGCGGAGACCAGATCCTGTGCAAGAAACAGGTCGTAAGCCGAATATGCACCACCACGGGAGCCGCGTCCCGGGCCACGTTTTCCGTGGGTCCCGGGCATTTGCTTCCAACATAAGACGCTGTTTCGGGAAACACACATAAAATAGAGTTCGCGGCCAGATTACCACCGGAGCATACCAGAGTCCAAGACTGGATACTTCTGCGATCATTGCGAGCATGTCAGTACGCCAATGACGACATCGGCCTGAAAACTGAGAGACGAACCGATACTAACGACATCGGTTCCGAGCCATTCCTACATGCACACTTTGTAGAATCCTGTGCTTCAGCCGATTTGTTCTTGTAAAGCCCAGAAGGTTGGCCCAGTGCTGCCTTTTTCTCTGCCCGTTTTAATTTTGAAGGGTACATACATACCTACATACGCACGTCTACGCACGTACATACACACAGAGATATGTACATACTTCTGGGATGTTGCAGTTGGAAGCAAAAACAGGCACGACCGCGCACCAAACGGGCGAGCAACGCACACAGAAACCCACACACACAACCACTCCAAACATACACAAAAAGAGAGAAAATAGTGGGCTGCCTAAACGCAGGCCGCCCAGCCTCCTCTTCTGTGTAAGCATACATATACATCTACATATATATATAATATTATATATATATGTATATGTACAGATCACATGCATTAGTCAGGAGACCTATGAGGTTGTCGCGGGCAGCATCCCGGAGATTGAGAGCAATGCGGAAGCTGCGCACCTTGGCAGACGGAGCCACTGAGCCTGGGCTATTGGTCGTTGCTTCGACGGGGTCTTAAAGCGGTAGTAACTTTGATGCTGACAATCATGGTATTAGTAATAAAACAGAAATAGCAACAGAAATAGCAATAGTTCGCGCAGTAATCGTCATAGTCATAATCGTCATAATAATCAGTGCGAAAACAGCAACAACAATAAGAATGCAACTCAACAGCAAATGTAGTAATACGAAAAAGTGATTTTCGTGTCTGCGGGCTCCGGGTTCACAGTTTCGGGGTGGTCTTCTAAGTCCAGTCGGTCCTGGCTGAAGCCATCTCGTTGTGACTGGTTGATGAATCTTGGGACAATGCTACTATGCAGGACGAGCCGAAGAAGGGGAGAGAGCTGGATCCGCTACACGACCTCAATGAAAAACTCTCCACGCACACAAGCCGCCAAGGTTCAAGCTTCTTTGTGACCCGTTTGAGGCGATCGAAGAGGTTCGGGCAGAGGGGGGGGGGTGTTAAGACTTCATGTTTGACCCAGGGGATCAGTTGGGCTCAGCTTGAGGTTGCGACAGCCATTCAAGGCAGAAACTTTGCGTACAGGTCGCGTGCACTCAGAGCCCTGAAGTGCCCTGTCGCATGTGGTGAGTAGACGTGAGATTTTGCAGCGCTCTGAGGGAGAGGGATGTATGCCCAACAGCGAAATTAATTCATCGGAGTTGATTGCCCCACCCGTTCGCGTGACAGTGTGTTGTGCTGAGAGGGCCGGAAAGAGCTGTAGATTGTAGACAAAGTCGAACTGACACGATGTGCGAAGGAGGCTCTGCGAACCGCCAACAGCACCTACTTTGACGAGAAGTGCGGAAGTGGGCTTTGGAGGTCCTTGAAGTGGCTTGGCTTCGGTCGGAGCCGCGGTTCACCCACAAATTCGCCACCAGTTCTGCCGCCTTGACTGCCTTGTGAGACGTACTCTGCACTGAGAGCCGAGGGTGGAGCGGAGTGCCTTCCCCAATCTGGATGAAACCGCCGGGGCAAGGCGCTTTTGATGTCGATGACCGAAATGAAGATTAAATGATGAAATACTTGTTCAAATGTTCATATTCTGTGCATGCCTGAGACTCTCATACTTCTAGTCTAAGCCAATGTCAACTCTTGTTGCTGGTGTGTGGCTGTTGGCTCTTGTTCTGACATGGTGTGGCCGTAGTTACGGGGCTATGATAGGCATGCTGTTGCTGGGCGGCCACGCATATGTTTGCAATCTCCTCCTCACCGACCGAGGTCTCCGAAGACCCCGCATCTTCCAGGAAACGACTAAGCTTGTCCTTCCGCCTCTACACTTCCACTTGCTGCATGGCCGGCCATGTCATGTGTCGTCTTACGTGAAGCCCATCGGCAGGGAACGACGATATGTGTTTAGCCAACCATTGGAAGCCTGCTTGGGTGCTCCCTGCGTGCAGGGTTTTCGGTGGCCGCACCTGAGACTGTGATTGTTATGTTGGCTACATCTCCGACGGTCGGACGATCCCGCGGTCGGGCACCGAACAGCGATGAAAAGCGGAAGAAAGAGAGGCGAGGAGCATGGAAGCCCAATCCTGCCGCGGAAGTTTGAACTATTTTGAACTCAAGCAACGGCCATCCTTCACCAGCACCCGACAGAAACCCACGCACGGCACAGCCGTCCACGCCTATGTGCAAGAACCTCTGCAAACTAGAGGCAGATTTGTCTTTGCATGTTTTGCAGCATCTGCTGCCATCTTTCAAAATCAAAAATGCACACGAAAACGCGGCGTTTGAGCAACATTGTGCTAGAGCAAAAAAATCCCCCCCGCCCCCGCCTGTCAATCCAAGACATTCGGTTAGGCTCTGCCATGGGCTGTCAGAGGTGAAGTGAAACTGCGTCGCCCTTGGCAGGCAGGAAGCGACCGATCCAGTGGCCATTCAGGTGCGAGCCTCCAACCAGTGGGGCAGTGAAGTTGCGTAGGCTTAGCTGAGGAGTCTGGTAGATGAGGTGGAAAGAGATTAGATGGTCAGAAGCAACTACGTCAACTTGAGTAATCGTCGTAGTAGCAGCGGCAGCTGCAGTAGCAGAAGCATGTCGTCGTTGTAGCGATGGCTTTTTTTGTGCCATTGCCAATGGTAGTGACTGGTAGTGTTAGCAGTCAGCAGCAGCGGGGAGGAGGAGTAGTAGTTTCAGCAGCAGCAGTACAGTAGCAGCAGTGAGTAGTAGTAATAGGTGCCCCCCTACCAACCACCCCTCCTACATACTCTTCTCGAACACATCCGTTTTTCTTGGTATTTACAGCACCGTCGTCATGTAGGAACATCTTCTAAAGCCTCGAAATCGACTTGCGAGTTTGCAAACTCCAGCTCCCGATTCTGGACTTGTTTTTTGGGGGTAGGGGTGTGAGGAGGGGGGGATGATGACGACATTGTTATGCAGACACCCCGAACAACATCTCCAGAAGAGCCGTCCTTCTCTGTACTCAGAGTACTTTTGTCATGTCGGGAGGAGGAGAAGGAGGGAGAGGAGCAGCAGTAGCAGGATGGGGAAGGATGTGGAGAGCGAGTTTTCGGAGTTGTTGACCAGCTTATGCCAGGCTTCAGCTTCTCAGAAGGTGAAAGCCATCGACCAGCGAGGACTGAGGTGTTTGATTGTTGGACATCAGCACGGGCCGGGTTCTGTTTGCTTCACAAGCAGCCTCTACACCCTCTGTGAAAAGGTACAGGGCTGTGCGTGTCATCGTGCGAGGAGGGGCGGAATCGACGCCGCAGTCGCCAGTCAGGAGTTTGCCTCCACTGCCAATGCCCACAGCAGAGCCCGAGGAGCCAGAGATGGTTTTGCCCCCGCCACCCCTGGAAAGAATGCCTTCGAAGACGACACCCCTACCCGACGACATGGACTTGCCCGGCTGAGGGAAAAAGTGTCGACGACTTGCTTGGCTAGCAGAGCTCATGTTTTGGCTGCAATTTCGGCGTGTACTATGTGTCTGGTCACTCTCTGTCCGCAGGTCGAGCCCACAAATCGTCGCTGCGGACAAGGACATGTCCCCCATCATGGTACACTCGCCCGCGATCCACACGCACAGCCGACACTCACTCTCGCACACACACACACACACACACAAACCATGCAGAGACACAGAGCTGCACATGGGCTGTCAATGAGTTGGTTGGCTAAGGAGCTGGGGCTTAGCATGTTTGGTGAATAAATAGCCTGGTAACATGCAAGTGTACAATACTTCTGTTGCCTATTGGTGGATCTTGTGCTTGGCAATTTGCTGTTGCCAACACTATGCTTTACGGCGACACAGGTTAGATGTTGGGTTGCCGAAAAATGCGAACGGGGTACTGGTTTCGGGCTGTCGGACTGGGAACGGCTAGTCCTAGGTATACAAGCCGACTTGGACCTGGGTCCCCAAACCCCAAACCCTGAAGGCTCCGAGAGGTAGTCAGGCCTGTGGGGCTTTGAGTGCACACTGAGGAGGTCCGAAAGGTTCTGCGGGATGTGGAGAAGAAGGCCAGGCCCTTGCCAGGGAGGCCAGGAAGGCGGTGAGTGTAGAATATTAGGAGATATTGTATATTGTAGTAAATTACAGTATGATGGTATACTCATAATACATTATGGCGTATTCTGGTATCTTGTCATATATGATCGTAGTATGGTCAAGGCGAAGGACGGGAGGGCCACGTGGTACAAGGACTGAAGACGGCGCACCCGGGTCACCCGTGAATCAAGCACAGGCATGAGACTTTCGAGGTTCCAGAAACACCAGCAACGGCCGAGCCACAGTTCCGAGGAGTGCCTACTCCAAGGGGACCCATCAGCAATATTCTTCTGATCAGAGTAATGATGCAAAGTTTTGTTATTGTGGTCATTGTGTTTACTATTCTTATGCTTGTTATTCTTATTCATGTCCATGCTGTCAGAATACCAGAAGACTGCAACACCCCTGCCCGGCGTGCGCCTGGAGCCTGAACTATCCAAAAGCTGCAATTTTCGCTTCGACCTTGTGCCCATCGGGCGAAGACGACACTCTAACGGCTTGCTGCTCCCTATGTGGGACCTCCAGTCTTTAAACTTCCCAAGCTTGCAGGTGCTGCGTCCATTCGGTCTGAAGAGTCATCCCCGGCAAGACTTCAACTTTGCTGCTCTTATTTGTGGCCGTGTCGTGAGTCGTGACATCTGGATCCTGGGCCCACCGGGTGTGGAGCAGGCAGGAGCAAGTAGTGCCGATGCTCACGTCGGAGACTATGCAGCTCCGATTGCAGTTCACAAGCAAGCGCTCGAAGTTGAAGGTAAAATGCCTGTGAAGCCAAAGAAGTCCCGTATGAACAAACCCTGACTAAATTCCTCCACCCTTGTCAGACCAAGCTGTGCCAGCATCTCCTTGGCCAGGCTTCGTCCTGCAGCAGAGCAGGAATCGCAAAAGGTGAGACGTGGAAGATGCATCATTTTATGGTTGCTTCTCTCGGCGAAGTGGCTAAGACACAAATGCAAACCGCTGCATGCAGTTCGGAGTATTGCACGCATGCATCTTTCCACGATTCAAGCAAGTGGTTAGTTGGATGTTCGTTCGCTGCCGTGTCCAACTTAGCGTCGTGCGCCTGTGGTGCGCCCTGCTTGTACCTTAGATTTGAGATGAAACCCTAAAGCCCTAGCCACTAAACCCCTATAAAATCCTAAGCCCCGAGCCCAAGCTCTCTAAACCCTAAGCCCTAGCCTCCCAAAGCCCTAAACTCAGAAGAAGCCAGATGAACGTGAAGCACACGCCAGAAACCATTAGACCAAGCCCGGTGCTCGGGCGATGGACAGAGGAGCTTATGGAAGCGCTGAAGCCGGAGGGCCCTGTTTGTTGGTTTGGGGCTTTGCAGGGCTTATTGGTCGGGTTTCGCTGTTTTTTCGATTCGTCGAATCTAGTATGAAGTTTTCGGGCTTACAATTCGGTTTTCGGGGTTTCGGGTCTTGTGTGGTTTTGTGTTTCTTGTTTGGTTTAGGGTTCCCCATGACAGGGAGCTAGTGACTAGTGACTAGTGGCCTCAAACGCCAAGCCAAGAGATGATTCACTGTCCGCCGCGACTTGGGCTGTCGGCTCAACATTCCTGGGCTTCAAGCATCAGTTCCCAGTTTCAGATCCGCTCAAACGGTTGATTGGATACTCGTCGCGCCATCCCTGCGATGTTGACCCCGCGCCTCCTGCCAACAACCATGTGGCAAGTACGGAACTCGAAAGACAAAGCTTGATGTTCCTAGATTCATTGAGGTACTGATTTGCCTATGGTACAGAGTCAGTCGGTCGCCGAGTGTTGGAAAAAGGATAGCCATGATCGAGATCTCAGACGTTTGGAGCAACTCCCTGTTAACGAATGTTGAAAGCCTATGGGTTATGCGAGACTACGAGCTGCAAACATTGAAAGTAAGAACCTCACCCTTTGTGCATTCGAGGCCCCTCCTCGTGCAAACCGTAGTTTCGAGTTTCCAGAAGTTCAATGAAAGCAACGAAAGGCTGCGGGGCTGAGGAAGTGTGGGCTGAGGGTTCCGAATGCACGCGCCTGCGGGGGGATTTGACAGCAATGCCAGCGCCAGGTCTTTAATCCGCGACAAGCCTCTGCCTCGGTGAATCGATTCCACCGTAGGAGCTGCTGGCCCTTTGTCGTGTCCTGAGTACTTGTCTATCTCGTCTCTGCGGCTTGGCATCTCGACTGTTTGGGGGGAGCCGCATCACGGAGCACCTGCGAGCTTTCGGGCGAATAGAAAGCACTCTTCTGCAACTGGCAAAACCACGTGCCGCAGAATGCAGATGATTTGGCCAGGAAGCATTGGCATTGGCTGCGACTAACCCATGCGCCGCAGAGTCAGCACTCACAAAGCTTCGCTGCAAAGGCTCCGTGGCAACCCGACCGTCGCGAGAATCCTTGAAGAGAGGCCCGCCGACTCATGAGGAGGGATGGGCTTGCCCATGTTTCGCAGGCGACTCCGCTAGGTTGTGTGCTAAAGGTTGTTGGCAGGCATCGCGCATGCTCAGTACTAGTCGTCGTCGTCGTGGTGGTGGTGGTAGTGGTGGTGGTGGTAGCAGTAGTAGTTTCAGTGGTAGTACCCTATGACTACCGCCACTATGCTACTACCACTGCTACCACCACTACCACTGCAACTCCTACTACTACTACTACTACTACTACTACTACTATTCCTGCTCCTGCTACTGCTACTGCTACTAAGACTACTGCTACTATTACAACAACAACAACTACTACTACTACTACTACCACCACTACTACTACTACTAATACTACTACTACTACTACTACTACTACTACTACTACTACTACTACTACTACTACTACTACTACTACTACTACTACTACTATACTACTACTACTACTACTACTACTACTGCTACTGCTACTGCTACTGCTACTGCTACTGCTACTGCTACTGCTACTGCTCCTGCTCCTGCTCCTGCTGCTGCTGCTGCTACTGCTACTGCTACTGCTACTGCTACTGCTACTGCTGCTACTACTACTACCACCACCACCTCGACCACGACCGCAACCGCGACCACTACGACGACGACAACAACAGCAACTACTACTACTACTACTACTACTACTACTACTACTACTACTACTACTACTACTACTGCTGCTGCTGCTGCTGCTGCTGCTGCTACTACTAGTACTAATACTACTACTACTACTACTGCTGCTGCTACAACAACAACAACTACTACTACTACTACCACTACTACTACTACTACTACTACTACTACTACTACTACTACTACTACTACTACTACTGCTACTGCTACTGCTACTGCTACTGCTACTGCTACTGCTACTGCTACCTGCTGTTACTACTGCTACAATTACTGCTACTGGTATTGATGCTACTACTACTATTATTACTACTACTACATCTTCTTCTCCTGCTGCTACTACTACTACTACTGCTACTACTGCCACTACCATTTTTACTATCACTACCACCACCACGACCATAACCTGTGTTTGAATATGATGTCGCGGGCATCTGATTGTCCCGGCTTGTTGATCACCGCGCATGCTTCGAGTACACCTACATACATACATGCATACATACATGCATACATGCCTACATACATGCATAAATTTCTTCTCGGTTGCGTCTTGCATAGACACTCGCCGGACCTAGCTAGCACATAGCCTCTTGAATTCTCCTGCAATCGGACATACAGACAGACAGACCGACCGACCGACAGAGACAGACACACATGCATACATCCAGACGTACTACACAAGCAACGCTGACTACGTACGCACGCAGGTACATCAGTAGAGAAGTGATGCATGTAATGCATGCACACATACACATGTGCGCACGTGCATGCACACTTGCTAGCATGCCTACATAAGTACATACAAGCATACTAAGACATGCAGGGCCTAAGACAGGCATATGGAGTCGAAGACGATAAGATGCTGCCTCAGTCGAGCAGTTGTAAATCACAGTTGAGCGTAACAATCGTCGCCCACAATCACCCGTTGGAAGCCGACCACGACAAGAAGAGCACCCACCAGAGATAAGCACGCCGAATTCGGGAACTTTCGAGTGGTGAAGCTGCAAGACGGGGAACCTTGTATGGAGCATTTTGTCTTGGCCGAAGGGAAAGCAGCTGGTGCTCGGGGTCGAATCTTTCCTGTGGCGTCTGGGCCGAAACCTCTATCCTCCGCATGATTGGCAGATCTCAATCCCTAAAGCCCTCGGAGAAGCGAAGGCCGGAGCTCCAGGAAGACCCGGCGGCCTTGCAACGCTACCTCGAGGAGCCCCGGTTTTTCGGGTTTCCCGGGGGGGACTGGGAGGCTTTCGGCCTTGAAGGTGCTTTAGGAGTTTCTAGGAGTTTCTAGGAACTTTAGGAGCTTAGAGGTTTTGGGGCTTCTTGAGGGGACGTGTGCCGCATGCCGCGTTCGTCCTAGAAGTTCTGCGAGGCCTAACCCGTAGACTCTCGGACGTCCTCAGCGCCCCAACTGCAAATTGAAAGATTATTGTGGCCCCTGCAAGCGCGCTGGTACTGGGCATCTAATCTAATACCATCTCACCGAGATCTTTTTTTTATCCAGGTTCGGACCAGGATGACGTTCTCATCGGGTCATGCACGAACTCCGACATATAGCTTTCAAAGACGACAGCAGGAATGAGAGAATCATGTAGACCATGCTGACACTTGCCGACTGAAAGATGCTATGCAGCCAAAGTCGGTAGTGCCCTCCCCCCCGCCGTGTCCTCTCATCCTCTCCATAGCCAGCCTTATTCCCATAATTAACGTATTCAGCACAGGAGCGCGGCGTGATCGAGGACATCTACGCCGAGCTCGAGACTAGCCGCTCTCCCAGAAAGGAGTGCTCCGTGTTTTGGTTCTTGTGCGAAGTTCGTAGTGAATCGAAAACGTGTCACCATGGCCTTGGAACAAGACTCATCGTAGCTGTGGTCGCTTCTACGATCCTTCACAGAATTACAAAGCCCACACGAAACCGTGGCGCTGTTCTCTCAACGGGTCTGACACAGCCAAAACATGCGATAACCGGATCCTAACGCCCGACCGGGCCCCCCAAACCTCAAGCTTCGAGCCGCCAGCCACGCGAGGCCTGCTGAAGCCCGAGGTGCACCACGTTATCGATCGAATTGGAGGGCTCATCATGATGTCAAGTTACGGTGCCTTCATCTCTATACAGTCACAGAGAGCTTGTGTGTGTGTGTGTGTGTGTTTGTGTGTGTGTGTGTCTGTGCGTGTGCGTGTGCGTGTGCGTGTGTGCGTGTGCGCGCGTGTGCGCGTGCGTGCTCTCGCCCTGTAATTCTAAGCGAATAGGGAACCAAATAGCGACATCAGCATTGACCCACAGGTGCCCAGCAAGATACTGCAGCCAGTGCCTCCTCCGGAGGCGAGTCGAGCAGAAGGTCCACCAAAGCACAGAGGATCGTAGTGCAGACGTTAACTGTCGAAGTACAGTGCCTGTCAAAGCATGAGGAATCCGTCATGCGGTTCACCGTGGGAGGTGTTGGGCAGAGACAACTCTGGCAGCACCGATGCTGCAGTTCAGCTCGGCACTTACGCTAATGCTTGTTTGGGGCAGAGCAGGGACCAGGAGACTGAGACGTTCCGCCGCGGCCCCAAGCATAAGCGACCGAAGCCGTTGCAGCTCTCCGGTCACCTCCTCGCCGCTTCCAATCGCAGCAGGTCAAGCCTCTTGGCAAGGAACGCAGTCAAGCCCAAGTCGCAGAATCTGCAAACCCCGCTCCAGCAATTTCGTGAGATCAAAGGTTCTTCCGTCATGGTGCAGCACATCGTGTTCGTCAACATTCCATCTGCCGGGCACATGAACCCGACCCTGCCGGTGGTGGCTGAACTGCGCCACGCGGTTGAGTTGGTGCTCTAGGCCTCTATAGGCCTTCTCGTCACGAT